TTAAATGTTTTTTTGACCTTTCACCCACCCACCCACCTACTCACCCCTCCAATCACCCAATAGACCTCAAATTCGAATTCCCCGCATCGAAATACCTCGAAAACCGTTTTTTAGAAAAAAATCGATATTAAATGTTTTTTTGACCTTTCACCCACCCACGTTTCCACCCACCCCGTTCACCCAAATCACCCAATTGACGTCAGATTCGAGTTCTTCGACCCCAAAAACCTTTATGGAATGATTTTCGAACGGCTAACAGTTAGTTTTCACTGATTTATAACGTGCTGATTTCTGATTGGCTTGGACAGACAGACAGACAGACAAACTTTTCGCATTTTCAGCCCATGATTTTAATGTGTATAACCCTTTCTTTCAGAAAAGGGAATATTCTTTAGTTCTTCGCGATAGATTTTGCCTGTAAGAACATAAAGAAAAAATGAAATGAAATAACCACCTTGTTGCCAAACAATTGTTATATTTCGAATTGTTTGATAATAAGAGGTATTCATTGATGGCACAAATGTTACTAATATATATGTTATACCAGATGGTGTAAAGAAGAGAAGATACATAGCTACCTGAATGATTAACATACGAGCCAATTGACCTTCTGTACGCCGAAAGAGACTTGTTTGATTCATGGGTGCTATACGATGTTTTTGACTTCGAATATTATAGATTGTTAATATACCAAATATGCCTAAAATAATTGGTATCAAAAAGTAATAATAAATAACTCAAGTCATCAGATAAACAGCGATCAATGTTGACGAATATTGTGTGCACTTTTTACTGTTGTCATAGTTAGGATCATAATAATATATAAACAGAAATGGACTCATATATATCGATGATAAGATCCATACAATAATAATGATTCTTTGTGCAACACGAACTTGACTCAAACGACGTAAACGAACTGATGTCTAACTTGAAAAATATCGATCAATTGAAGCACACACTAGCATTAATCCATACCATAATGATGTTGCATAGCTTAGAAATGAAACTATTTTGCATGCAACAGGTGTACCATTGATATAGAATCCATAATTTTGTACAAGTACTGCATTTACAGGTGAAACAACCACGTATGCTAAAGTGGGTGGAACAGAAGCAAGAAAATAATAAGTGCATGTGGATGATCGAAGAGCTCGACGACAGAGCACACTAACATTTAATATACTTGTAATGACTATAAATGTCATTGTAACAGAATAACTGTAAATAATAGGTTGCTTAGCTGCCTGAACTAAATCATATTGATTAGACGGCGAGGATGTTGTATTACTCATAGATTCTATGAATGGATGGTGATTATAATTGTGTTCTAATTTCAAATAAATTCACTTGCTAGTAAGTTCATTATGTGTATATGTTAAATCTAATAAAGAACCTGCATAAACACCTATTTATATTAGTTTTGTATGCATTAAATACGCATTGAACACGCTACCAATTAACATTAAAGAAAAATATTTGAAGCAAAATTATATTAACGAAAGCTTTGAATGAGAAATACGCTCGAAAGCATTCAATTTACAGTTATGAGAAAATCAGAGACTAGCATTATAAAGTAATTTCAGTTTCAATGCATCTGATGATTATGTCATGATTCTCCATGCAATATAACTTTTTTTTAATACTTATTTTATCGTTCCTGAAAGGATTAATAAATTTGTTTTCACAGTTTATGCTACAACACATCCACCAGATAAGACGAATGGAGGGTATCGCTGTGGCTGTGGGTGTAAGTAACACATATGTACAACAGTCACACCCATTATAGAATAAGATGAGTAAAAGGTATATTGAATGATTTTGCCTAACGTACTGACTATAAGACAATTGTTTTATGAGGTGATAGTTCTGAATTATACAATACTTTGAATTTTGTGTCAGATTTGCTGATCGATGTGTTTCTATTGAAGATTTTGTATGTTTACTTTTTATTGTCTTTGTAATAGAGATGAACCATTTAGTTTAAAATATTAAATTAAGGTAAAAGGTCCAGCTCTATTTGTAACTGTTACAAAATCGTCAATAACAATCATTAAGATATTTTTTTCTGAAAGTAAAAATTAAACAATTTATTTATTTTTTATCTGTAGCTTTCTGTGTGAAAAGACCTTATATTGTATTGAAATGTAATCCTTATATTTGCTCATCATTTTTACCTTGTCTGCAATTTGTTTAATACTAAAGGTCTAGATATAATTTTATAAACCTATCTGACTATATTATTATTGTTTTTTATGTATCTTTGTAACTCAATGATGTGTCGGTGTTTTTAATAAAACGTTCTTGTAAAAATGACCTGTTTGTCATATTTCATGTGAAATTAATAAATAAATGATTATTGACATTATGATTCTCGTTTGATATTATAATCAACAATTGTTTATGCTACGAAAATGTTTAGTTATATTTTTAGTATTAATGAATATATTTATTAATGAGATTAAAAATAATTTTTTTTAACTTAAACATTCTTTGTCTTATTTTGGAATTGATATTTAAAGAGAGAAAAGTCATTTTTATACGACAAACTAAAAACATTTTTATTAATACAACCAGATGATTGAAAACAAAAAGTCTCCATCGATTTTACAAATGGTTATATTGAATTAGCGAGTCAAACTCATCTTATACATATTTTGTATATATAGTCAAGGATATATTCCGACTATACGTTAGTTTAAAAGGTGCAAATAACAAAATGTTTATTAAATATTAAAAAATAAAATTAGATATTTTTCTTTGTTTAATTTAATTAATTGTTAACGTTTTGAATTAAATTAATACCAAAAATCTTTTTTCATTTATTTAGAATAGATGGAAGGCTAGAAGTAATTTTATTTTCTCTGATTAATCTGTAAATAATTTAACTATAATATTCGATTTCATACAATAAAATACAAATTCTAAATGGCAAACAATTTTTTTTTATTAGAAAATTACGTTTTTTTCAAGGTATAACTCATAATAATAAACGGTGAAAAAAGAAAAGACGCCACGTTGATACTGTAGAACGACTTTTTTTCGTTCTGTTTTATTCTTCTTCGCAATAAGCTACCAAGTCATGTTTATACATGCATAGATTCTGTCGTTACTAAATCGACGTAATGTTGTTGTTTTCACATCACTGCATTCATTAATAATATGTATCTTAAATAATGTGCGTAATATTCAAATAAAAAAAAGATTTGTCAGTTAAATCATGTTTTCGTTACTCAGTGAAAAGAAATCTTCAGATGAAATAAATTAAATATTTAAGAATTAGTAGTTACATTTATTAAGAATAAATAAAGCTTTTATATACTTATTATTTGTATTTGTAATAAAGGTATATTTTCTTTTTTTTCTTCTTATTTTGAGTGTTGATTAAATAAAATTTCTTTAGATATCATCCAAATGTCTTATCCTATCTTTCATATGATATATATCCAAAAAAATTGCTGATTACGCTGTTAACTTATTGACCTGTAAAAATATATACTCAAACAAAAAAGTGAACGATAATCTCTATCAGAAGAACGAAAAAAATTAAAATAATTTAAAAGAAATACATATCATTGATACATACATTTAACAACTATTGAATATTTTTATAAAAGATGAATGGTTGTTGAATTGTTATTAAACTTTACTGTATAATTTTTCTTCAGTTTCTCATTTCCGTTAATATCTGTTATGTTAATTTTTTGAAAAAAAAGGAGCAGCGAATTAAATTTCTATAGATACTTTTTATTTACATAATGATATTTGCTGCTAATGAAAACATTTCGATGATCGTTGAAATCCTAATAAATTAATCCTTGGATTATCTCAGAGTATTTACGTGTTGATATAATCGAATGACCTGACAATTTACAATAGTACTTGAAATGCAATTGTCTATTCTATCTGTTTGATTATAAAAATGATCGTCAACAAAATTACATTTGTCTGTTTTGCAATTACATTTTTTGACGTCTTTTTTTTGTGCATCTGTATCTCATCAAAAGTATGACAGGTAGGAAAAAAATCATACTTAAGACAAAACAAAGAAAAATCAAATTCCTTTCATTAGAATGTATGTATTTTTTTATTTCGAAGTAATTAATCTTGTCATTTTATTCTTTGTCGATATTATAAAGATAATCGTATGCATTATATATGTGCATCAAATTGTCATATGACTATAAATTTTATTCGTAAGATTTATATGACGATAATGTTGTTTTGACGTTATTTATTTCGTTCAGAAAATATTTCAGTAATACAATGACCTAATATGTATAAAAACAAGTACTCATAAAATAATAACCTTATTGATCAGCGAGAATAAATACTCAGACGAAAAAGTAAACGATAAGCATACTGTAAACTCAAATAGAGGTAAGTATCATCCTTTTTTTATACTTTTATTCATGTTTAAAACTGAAATAATATTGAAGAAACTAAATATAATTCCTCAAAGCATTTGAAAATAATTAACGAATACTATTTGTAAAGTACTAGCTCTTATTTTTATAGGAAAATAGATTTTTATCTATGACTTTTTTTCGATTTTCATTTCCTTTTGGTTTCATATACCATTTTTTCTGTTGTTTTTGTTGAAATGAAACTATGACATTTTTGATTTAATGTGAAGAAATGTAAATTTTGATTGATAATATAAGGATGACAACTATCATATCGACG